AAATTATCAGTTGTAGCAAATTTTGTAATTTTATCTGCAATGGTTTTTCAAATATTGGAAAAAATCCATTAAAGGATGCACCCCTTTCAGGGGATGTAGCTTCTTATACAGGGTGTCCCACGAGTAATAATGAGCCTGAAAATTTTTTTGAAGCAACTCACATTACATTTCAAAGATAACGTGGGTATTAAAATATTTAGTTTTAATAAATTAAACCTAGTGACCAAACAGCACTTCAATTTTAATTTATAAAATGTCAAACCTTGGAGAATTTGATGAGAATTACTATTAAATGTTGCCGAAATGAAACCAGATTCTCATTTATGAAGAATGTTTGAAAAACATTTCGCAGACTGCACGTTTCTATCCAGCGTGATATCCAAATAGACGGACTTCCTAAAACTGGAGTAAAGTCATTTTGACTGATAGAAATTTGTCAAAAATAAAAATACGATTACTATGTTTCACTAATTAAAACGAAATATTTTAATATCCACGTTCTCTATGAAATGTAATTTCGGTTGCTTCAAAAAATTTTTCGGGCTCATTATTATTCGTGGGACACCCCCTGTATAATATTTTTCGATACATGTTTATAGGAAATTTTTATCTTAAAACTGAATATCCTCACCTGTTTAAATTTATGACAATAAAAACAGAACATCTTGTATATTTTCTCTTAAATATCAAAATCATTGTAGTACGACTGAAATATTTTTAGAACATATAAGCAATAGGTATTGTACTTTACTGAAGAAGTAACGAATTTTTTTTATTTTATTTTAAATTCACACAATCAATACACTTTTTAAAAATTATTTATTTACAATCAAAATGCTATTAAAAAGCAAATTAAAAATCTCCATCACCATTAAAGTGTTTCAAAGTATTCAAAAATGTAGTTGAAAATTAAATTCCTACGATAATAATAATTGTACATCTTCAAAAATTGTGTTGTGCATTTTGAGATTTAAAGGTTTTTTATGTTGGCGTAAGAAATTTTTAAATTTTAATTTTTAGCACAGAAAATGATTCATTGACGGTTTAGCATTTTATAAAATTTGACAAAAAACAGCATAACTCAAAAACAAAATAAAACTTCGTTCTCAAAATACAATCACATTTTTTATATTAAGTACTTAAATTTATATTAATTATTATTTTTTGAAGGCAAATGATTTAAAAAACGCTTTTTTCGTAATTTATATTCACCCTGTATAAATAAGAGTACAATTCTACTTCTACTGGTATTTTCTATTCACATTTTAGATTAGGTTTAGTCAACAACATAATTTTAGTTTATTTATGTAGGTTTTAGCATTCACGTGCAACAACTGACAATTACATTTAATTATTTCTCAAATTTAGTTACTTCATTATAACTGCAATTACTTTAATTACTCGTCATAGGATTCAATGTGAAAATTAAACAAACAACTTATAAGACAAGTAATTAGTTTCGCAACAAGTCAACACCGCCAGGGCGTTTGTCCGAAAATTTCCAATCGACGTGGACGTGGTTATGAATAATAATCGTGTGAATGGCAATCCAGATAACTTCAATTGATATTAGAATCTATAACAGCTCTTATCTGGATGAATCTAAATTAGAATTATTAGCTGATAAATGGGGATGATAGTAGTATAGGTATTATATTCTCGTATGTTTTAGCTGTTAGACTTACGTAACTAATATTTTATCTCTCTATTCTCTTAAAACTGTATACTAAAATGTTTTGTTATGTAGATAGAGGCAGTAGGCTATTTTAATCGCTCATTGCTTAAGAAATATAAATAAAACATTTTATTTCTTAAAAATCATTACCAGTTTTGTATAGGTAATCGGTAGATAAGATCTGATTTATTTAATCAATTGTTTTTTAGGGAATAAAATCTACTTTTTTTGTACTTTTCAAGAACACTGTAGTTATTTACTGAGAAACTTCATCGGGAAAGTTTCTGTAGGACAGCCTGCATATGTATTACATTATAAAAAGTATGTTGTATGAATATGGAATGATTTGTGACATCTTATTAAAAACTGCATATGATTTACTCTATTTACCTTTTGTACTGTTTTAATATTACACTATGTTAAAAATGCTTTTATTGTACCAGATGCTTAAGTTGTAAAAACGATTTTGTTATGTAAATGATTTTAAAACATTTATTTTATGATACTATTTTTAAAATTTGAATTAAAACAGCTTTATGTTTGTCTTTTTATAACAAATGTAATATTTGAAGTTGCTATAAAAACCTACGTAAATTTTAATAATATTAAATTAAAAAATGTAAACTTTTTAAATTTAATATACTCCTCGTATATCCAAGTGATATAAAGTTGTACAAAGTCGGGAGTTCGGCATGAATAAAAATGTGGGAAGTAACATTGAATTCGCTTCTACTTTCTCATGTTTGCTTCATCACCATCGATCATAACAGCCCCGTCTTGAACACGCTTTGCATTTCTTGCTTTCGAATTTTTTGTTATTATTATTTGTATCTTAAAATTGAAATGCTTCAGGATTACCATGATTTATTTTCAGATATACTGAATAATGTTACAGGAAACTTATTTTCAAATTAAAGGAATTTTAGCGAAAATTAATTTTTTAAACTTCTTTGTGAGTTTCGACAATTACAACTACCTACTGTGTATTTCATACTTACAAAAATTAACACATGGATGGCCATACAATCCACACAGTTTAAATTTCGAATTCAAATAAATTTACGCTTTATTTGAATTGATTTTAACTATGTGGAAAACTTTTTGTATTTTAACCCTAAAACACATAGGCTGTTTCAGGTACAAAAATTTTGCCAATAAAAACCACAAATAACATTGTTTCAATTTGGGACACAGCTTCCTTCTTTCCTCTTCTAATAGCCTGTAGGACAAAAATTTGGAAAATCATTTTTCCAACAGAAATAAATAAGTCTAAGTGGAAAATTGAAACTCCAATAACCTCGAAATTTTTATACAGGGTCTTTTGTAAATACCAAAAACGAAAAATGTGAAATGAAATAAGATACCAGGAACATGAAAAAAATGTTAAAACAAATCTATCTATAAAAATTTCGAAGTTACGAAAAAAAATAAGCTACAGACTGTTAGAATAGAAAACAAAAATGTACCCTGAATTGTAACTCTGTTTAATGTTATTTGTAACTTTTATTTACAAGAAAAAACAAGATCCTTAGTATCATTAAATAGACATAAAAAAAAGTCAAATGTCAAAAAATAAACGTCAAAATATTTTGCCAGATAGAATTTTTTAAACATCATTTTTACTAATGTTCCTGGTATTTTCTCTTACTTGGAATTTACAAAACACCCTGTAGATGGAATTAAAAAAAATATATATATTGGAATCTGGTATCTTACCTTACATTTTTCTCTAATGGGGCGCCTGTTATGATGCACCCTGTTTAAAAATTTAGAAGTTATGGGGGTTAAAATTTGGCACTTTGATCCTATTTATTTCTGTTAGCAAAATAATTTTACATGTTTTTTTTTATGCAAGCTATTAGAAGAGGAAACAAAGAAGCTGTATCCTGAATTGTAACTATGTTTAACGTTATTTTGTGGCTCTCATTGACAAACTTTTTGTATTTTTACTAAATAATTAGGAAAAAAAAATATACAAGATTATCAGTAACACTAAACAAAGATTTTTTCCATCTCACATGGCATTTTTCTCTAGGACGCAAGTTTTGAAACACCTTGTATACACGAAAGTAGAACTTTTCCATGTGAAACTGCAGTTGGAATGTATAGAATACATTTTAAAATATAGGAGTAATAAATTTTTCTTTTATTTTTTTTATTGCTGTACATAAAGTTGTCTTTGATTTTTTTATACAGAAAAAACGTTGAAAAAGATAGGAGGATATAGGAGAGGACCCAAATTTCTGAAAGTTTTCATCTGGGGTAATTTTTTAGCGTTGAATTGGTGATATCAAAAATTGTGTACCCTAATTAGGGGAGACAGAGGCACTATTATGTAAGGCGTAAAATTTTGCTTTAGGAGAAAATTTTCGGGAAATTGATAGAAATATTGAAAGCAATTCACTTCATCAACAAAAAACATAAAACACACTATAGGCTGTTAACGCACTGTGAGAAGCAAGATAGTACATACAAAAATAGTGTCTAAATCAAAATTTGAATTTTAGAAGTTTCTACAGTAACACTCTGTACCAGTATATTTTGACTTCAATAGTACATTAGAAGCGAGGTGGTAAATGTGGAATTATCCCGATTGCTTATGTAAATATGCTTATGTATCGGATAAAGCACTAATGCCACTACCACTGAGGTTTGTATACTCTTTTATTCACAATCACATTATTTTCAGTCAAAAATTTGAGTAAAAATACAATTCTAACAAAGTTAAGATCCAAACGTGGTAGGCCATCCAAATAGCGTTTGGTTTTTGACATTTCGGAAATGTCATAGAAAATATTGAAATAATATGTGAATCTGATTTAAAATCGTCGAAATGGAGCAGTGTACTCCTCCAGAAGTAAAAGAAACTGCTACAAAAGCAATTGAATTCTAATTTAGCAAAATATTATGCGTAACTTGACAATTTGAAAGAAAAAATTCCCGGTATTTTTGTTGGCAAATCTGCATATTACCGCCCAAGAGAAGTAGTAGTATTACTCCTCATGAGATTTTAAAAGGTTAGTAATCGGCATATTACATTAATGATTGTGAATAAAAAATATTTTTGGTATCGATTTATAAGTATTAATTTTGGTAACAGGTTCTAATTATTCTCGTTAAGGTCGATGATGCATTTGTAGGAAAGTAGGAAAAAAACTAGATGGGTTGAACTTTTCAATTTATTCTCAAACATATCATGAACAATATCCGTAGATAGAAAATTTATATTTAGTAATGTGGTACACTGATTGTCACATTTTTTAAATTTATTATTTGATTTTTTAACATGGTTTATTTTTACTATGTATTTTCATATTAATTGCAGGCACACTGCGGTGGATGTGGATTTGAAGCCTGCCACGACGGAACCATCATCTGGTTCACTGTACCCACCGGCGTCTTTCCAATCTCCCGCCACTCCTACCCGGTCCAATGATGTGACCCGATCCGAGCCGAACCTGAACGGTTCACAACCCGAACCTGTGATATTGAAAGCAGTGCCTTCCCTGAAAAATCTTTCGGAACATTGTCTACCTGACAAAATCTCCAAAATGCACGTCAAAGGTGCTCTTAACCACAGACTGCTATTACAATCGAAGAGTTTCGGTGTCGATAACGCACGTCCCATTTACCCTAATTGTCCTTTTTCACCCTACGTTAGTCCTAGTGGAAGTCCCAGGACGAATAGGAAAAGACAGCCGCTTAGAGAGTCCAGAAGAGTTTCCATTGAAAAGTCCGGTACCTATTTACAACTCAATCAATACAAATTGATGGACTCCATCGGACAGGTTGGTGAAAAAATTCAAAATCAAAAATTTAATTCTTTACAACTTTGTTCCTAATACCTTTTGTATCTCTAACCATATTCACTGCGTTTGCAAAAATGTTGACAAACATGAAGCGAAGTTAAAATTTCTGATGGTTTATAATTTTTTTCATATTACATTTTATACTGTAAAGTAAGATACAGTTCATTTCATGGACTTATCCCGATCTACGATAAAACGTTAGGGGACAAATACAGAAATACGTCCATATTCCTATCTTTTTTTACACTGTGAGAATACATGCGACAAATATAGAACATACCCTATTAAAAATGTCACAATTCCTAGAATATTATCTTTAGGCTAAAGAGAATATCAAAGGCGAGGCTTGTTCGTTATGTCTAGTATTAGATGATTCTTTGTAGAGACATTGTTGCCAACATTTTTAATAAGAAAGTAGTAAGTCAGAAGCACAAGTTGAACTACAAATTCTCTATCAAAATGTACTCAATTTGTGTAATATTTAATATTTCATAAACACAAAACATAAAAGACTCTCCACATACTTGGTTGCTAATATTCTGCATAAATTTGAGTTTTTTTTTTTAAATTAACTTTGTTTTACTTGCTGTCAAATGTCAAATTCACACGAAGCTATACGTCGTAGACTGCATCGTACTCCAAAAGTTAAGCTGATGAAATAGACTGTACACTCTACCTGCCTGTATTTTGGTTTTTGCCTTGTGTACACCTTCATTTAAATATAGCTTTTTTTTATTTTGTATGCACTCTGCAATGGATTGACATGAGCCCTATTCCACCAACGACTTTGCAACTTTACACTTTGCGCTTTGCCAAATACATTTGCGTTCACCAACAACTAACTATATTTTGCACACTTTGTAAAATATACTTTGCAAAAATAATTTGGTTTACAAAAATTTGCAAAAATGATTTTAAAGATTGGTAGAACACATTAATTTTGCAGTTTGCAATTTATGCAAAACATTTTAAGGCAAATCATACAGTGCGATCAAAAAGTCGTTCTATCAAGTAGGCGTCCTAGTTAAGGACGTATGTTGCATGAGAGTTCGTATGTTATCTAGATGTCAAAAAATTATTTTATAAAAATTAAAACATTGAGCTAATTAAATTGAATTATTCTATATGAAACGTCTCAAAACAAACTAAAATAAGATTTTGTTAAAAATGTTAAAATGTTAAAAATGTTAAAGTTAAAAATCGTTCACCACGATTTCCTGTCAAAATTTACATAAAAACATTTTGACATTTATCAATTGTCATTGTGACTTTGCAACACTAATACCTGATACTGTTTCTATTTAAAATACGCTTCATCTATAAAGTACGCTGATGCATATTTTTTGTCAATTTTCACATTATTTTCACATACTTTATAATAATTTCTGAATTTAGTGAAATTTCTGATACAATATTAGTGTTGCAAAAAATCTCGAAGACAACACAAGTTTTTTATGTAGTTTAAAAATCTCAGCCTAAACTACGACCTCGATTTTTAAACTGTCTACAAAACTCTAGTTGTCTTAATAGCTATTTTCCTTTACAGTGAAAATACGGTCTTTTTGGAATTACATATACGATTAGCCAACATTTTCCGTGATAGGTTTCGGGAATAAAGATCATTTTTCATTATTTTTAGCATGGCCATTTTAAAAATTGTGCACACAACATTTTCTTCCCATTTCAAAATGTATAAACATGTATTAGAACAATATAAAATTGCTAAAGTAACAACCACTTTAGGTACACCTTATTAGGCGGACTTTCGGGAACGAATGGCCCGCATATGTGCTCCTTGTCTTGCAAATCTATCTGTCTCGCGTCACCAGTTTGGCCACACTTCAGCCAACACAGTGCATGCGTTCGCTGATCACCTAAAAATTTTACGCCGTGCCTTGTGCTAATGACATTAATCCCTGCTGGGTTGTAATATATTATTAGCTATGAGGACAACAGTTTACTGTATTGTAACCTCAAAACTTATGCATTGCAAAACAGATAATAAATGACCAACTTACGTGTAAAACTAACTACAGTTTTTTGTGAGGAAAAACCTTATAGAATAGTCCCACTAAGTTTCAAATAAATATAAAAGCAACCATAGTAAATTATTAAATAAAAGTATCAAATGTGTGTAGAAAGAGAGAAAATAGTTTAAGTAAAACAAAAGCCTTAGAAAAGTTCATAATATTATAAGTATAGGAAATCCCATGAGGCTTCGATTCTTTACTACGAACTAAAACATTTATGTTTCATGATTGTGCTGTAAGAATACGGGGTGCACCAGAACTCGCGCCCCAGAGAAAAATGCCATATAAGGTAAGATACCAGGAACATGGAAAAAAATCTTTTACAAATTCTATCTATAAAAATTTTCAAGTGATGAAAGTTTAAATTTTGCACTTTGACTCTATTTATTTATGTTGGAAAAATAATTTTCCAAGTTTTTTTTTCTAGAAGAGGAAACAAGGAAGTTGTATCCTAAATTGTAACTCTGTTTAATGCTATTTGTGGCTTTGATTGCCAAATTTTTGTACCTTTCCTAAATAATGATAAAAAAACATATACAAGATCATCAGTATCATTAAATAGACATTAAAAAAATTATTGTTTAAATTTTTTGACAGAATTTTTTAAACATTTTTTCGATGTTCCTGGTAGATATCTTGTCTTATGAAATTTTTCTCCCTGTATTTGTTGTAAAATAAAATCATTTTGTTATTATAATTTTTTGCGATCATTCCCGATTCCAGGCACAAAACTAAGTAACTCTTAAGTTATTTATTTTCAGAGACTTACCATCGTATTGATCGCATTTATCTTAGCCAGCTAATTAAGAAATACTAATAAAAACAAAAGATGAAAGTATAAGAAGATTAGTTAATGATCTTATGTATTTTCATTATTACTATTGAGAAAGAAACTAGGAACGAAAGAACTAATCAATCCAAGAAACGACAAATTTTTTGCACGGCGGGGAGTAGAAATCAACTTTTTTATTTCAAAACTGTCACAGAAGTCACAATTCAAAATGAGCATAACGACGGGAGCAAATATGGGCTCCCGTTACTAAGGCATTCTTCCCATTCATTACCAACAAACATTTATTACAGCTAACAGAATTACAGCCAATTTCTTGGGTTTTTTAACTCAAGTCGTGCAAAAATAGTATATACGTCACTAGAGAGAAATGTTATTATTACTTTGGTGCTTTATAGCAAATATAAACGTCACCTCAGGAATAATTGTGCATTTCTCTCGTTGCGGAATTAAAATTTCGGACAGTATTGTCATTTTCACAATGTAAACTCTAAAACAACCTTTACATTAATAACCTCATTTTTTACTCTTGTCATGTTTAATGTCATTTTAACTTAAAAAATAGCGTCACTGACAGAAAAGTTTAATTGTCAAATGTCAGTTATGAATGTCATGATGACAGTAAAAGGTAGTTTACAGTGAAGTTTTTGAAGTCACAGAGAAAAAATATGCACATACGACTTGTCAATTATGATTGACAGTAGCTAAAAATAAAGATAACAGTCCTAAAGCATGCTTTACAATTTAATGTCACTCAAGTGACATTGACGACCAAAGTATTTTGTCTCTAACTGTACATGGTGCACATTTTATTTGTTCCCGCCTGAAGGAGCAAAAATAGGCAACTTATTATACATTTCATAAACACTTTGTGTAAAATATTAACTATTTTAAATCGAATAATTATAGTCGGTGCTTGATTAATGACATTGTAAACTTCAAATTCAAAACTCAAATGTATATTAATGGAAACAACAGCGAGAAATTAACAAATTATTTTACGTCTTCCCACTTCAACTTTTTTAAATTGCTCAGTTTCATGCTCATAATGTTCCGAAAGCATGATTTGATGGATTTTTTTTCCTGGGTTTCTTGTGGCATACAGGCGAACTTCGGCATCTCTCTCGCGACACTCTCCCAAAATTAATATCATATCCGTTTGTCGGAGTTGTTGTACATAGTTCACTTTTAGGATTGTCACGAAGTAATTACAACTCGGATTAACTTTGCAATAAAAACTGATAAAACTACCGACATAATCCACATCTGTCTATTCGTTTATTATAAAAAGTAACATTTTAAACACAAAGTCTGATCTGAAAAGTTAAATTGGTTGCCTATTTATGAAATTTTAGGCGGGAACAGATAATATGAACATCCTGTATAATAAACTATTTTATTTTTCACAGCATCTGTCCAATTATTCTTTATTAAAATGCCATTTATTTTTATTTAGACAAAAACAATATCACATTGTAATTAATCCGTTTATTCCTTTTTTACGAAGAATAATTACATCCATTTATTGCGTACATGACTCTTAACCCCAGTAATAATATTTCTAAGTGATGGCAGGTTTTATTCTTTCTAGCCGAGATGAAAAATTCTCTTGAGAATTTTGCAATTTACATTTATTTTCTAAAAATTTCCATTATGAAACGGATAGAATAAGTAATGCCGGCTTGTTTGATGTCACCCCATTGAATTTTCATGGCATGCAGAAGTTGAGTTCGTTGTCCAAGAGAAGCTTCTTTGAATTTTTAATATTTGTTTCCTAGTCGAATGAAATTATTTTGTTCCAGGGGTCTTACGGTATTGTCAAATTGGCTTACAACGAGGAAGACGACACTCATTATGTAAGTAATTCAATTTTTTCAAAACAGTTTTACATAAAGAAATTAACTAAACTGTGTTATTACGAGTAGAAATAAATAGAAAAAATACAATACTTATTTTTTTTAAGAAATTATAAACTTTCAGCTCTTTTAATATACATTAAATAGTGTGTCTGGGGACTTCTTGCATTTCTAATTTGTCGGATTATAAATTTATGTTATTGATCCCTAGGGTCTTGTTCTAGTTTAGTTGAACTTTTCTAATATTGAGAATTTGTCTTACAGGCGATGAAAATTTTATCGAAGAAAAAACTTTTAAAAAAAGCGGGAATGTTTGGCAGACTGCCACCAAAAAAGGAAGGTAGACCCAGTCCTACCCTAACCCATCCTCTTCATCGAGTGTACCGAGAAATCGCCATTTTGAAAAAGCTCGACCACCCCAATGTGGTGAAATTAGTCGAAGTCCTCGACGATCCCGTCGAAGATCATCTTTATTTAGTGTTTGAACTTCTAGAAAGAGGGCAAGTGCTTGAGGTACCTACCGAGAAACCCTTGACCGTGGACCAAGCTTGGACCTACTTTAGAGACGTAGTTTTAGGAATAGAATATTGTGAGTATCTCGTTTTATTTAATACATATTCATATAGAAAAATCCCTCTTTTTATTAAAAAGACGAGATCTTGTTCGTATATGAAATTTTTGTCTTATGACATTACAGAGTCAAAAGGAAATATTAAAACGAGATTATACAGGGTGTCCGGAAAAAACATTGAAAGTTTTCCTTAGCTCAAAATAAGAAGAAAAGTTTGTATGTTCGGAAATGCTTTCCGAGGGAGCTAGACCCCCTGAAGATGGCTGGCAAAAGGTCTTTTTTTTCAATTATTTCAATAACCGGTGGACATTTAAACACTTTTTCCATGTTCTTGGTATCTTATCTTACTTGGCATTTTTCTCAGGGATGCGAGTTCTGAAACACCCTGTATGATCAAGTTATCGCTACAGCTCCCTTAGGAAGCATTTCCGAACATAGATCAACAAGAAAATTTTCTTTTATTTTGACTTTGAGAAATCACCCTCCGAAATGTTTTAACGTTATTTTGGACACCCTGTACAGTTGTTCTTCGAGCTTTAAAATATTTTATGAGCTCCTTGAAGTTATTTCGCGTCGACAAAATCCTCTCTGTAAAATTTTTAGTGGCTTGCTCAGAGCTACGAATGTAATGAAGGACACGGACAAATTCCAAATACGTGAAAAACAATAATTCAGAAAATTCCGATATTGCATTATAATTTGTAACATGATAAAATATTAGGAATTAAATGTGACCTTCGATTCTTACATCATTACGAATACTCAAATAAATTTTAATGTTTTATATTCTACAGGGGGTGGCCCAGAAGTCTGGAAACGATTTTTTTCTGGCGAAACTATAATTTTTTTGACAAATAAATTTATAGGTGTGCAATGGCTATAAAAATGATATTCTTAACCAAATTTGGATATCAATCAATTGTTGTTTACACTTACGATAAACATAGCAACATTTTTTTTATTGAAACCTATCACATTTTTTTTGCTAGACAACAAGAATTGTTGTTGTGCAATTTTTTTTGTAAATCTAACATTTTTGTTAAAAAAATGTTTGACTTACAAGTATCAATTTTTTTTGTATCTAAACTGCCAGTTTTTTTATCATATTTTCAATGGGTGCATAAACAAAAAAATGGTATAACTTGCAGAACTTGAGAGCAATTTAAAAAAATGACTTTTTTGAAATTTACATGAATGTTCGTAAATCTAGTGTTGAATACAGCTTAGGGGGTGTCAATTATTCATTAATGCATTTAATCTGAGATAAGTAATGCCAGAGAAACTGGGGCGCGAGTTCTGGCCCACCCTGTATACGTAAACTTGGTAAAAATTTCTTGGCTTTGTCGACGGTGGCGCCGTTTGGTGGTTCAAAAGTTTCGCCCCCTGCCCTTAAATAATTTTTTTCCCAACAGGGAATAAAGTAACGCTTTAGGTTTTTGACTAATATCATGTAAAATTTAATAATAATCGATCTCGCTAGTCGATAGCAGTAATTTATGGTATATTAAGCATCAAGAACGGTATTTCTAAGACATTTTACGTTCGTGATGCTTATGAAAGTTTTTGCGCGATTGATTTTTTTGATTTTTTTAATAAAATATCTAAAAAATTTACTTACCGTTGTAGAACACCAAAAATACTTTGGCGACGACTCTGAATACTTACTAACGAGCTTGTCGTCAGCAACAATAAACAAAATAAACATCCTACTGTCTTGTAATTGGAAACAGACGTGGTAAACAATCAAATAGACCTCAATTGCCCAAAAAATATTTTAGAATAAACAAAAACAACTTAGGTTAATGTATGTACTTTAAGAAAAATGAGCTACATGAAAGAACGAAAAGTGGTCTTATTTCAAACATGAGAACAAAATATGAGTTTCGATTTAGTACAACCATGTTTCAAAGAAAACATTTTAGTGTAGGTATGTGTATACATTCATTTTTTACTTGACGTGTATTTATATAGTTTTAAGTATAAACTAGATGTGAATCACAGAACATAATACTTAACTATCACGTTAATTAACGATTAACTACAAGCGAAGGCGATTACTTACAAAGTAATTAATTAGTTGCTTAATTATATTGTGTTTAATTGTTGTTACAAAGAAAGTGTTTGAAATATGAGTTTTGTTTGAATCGAGTTTCTTCAAACTTTACAATTCCCACAAACTGAAATGAACGTCCCCTATTAAACACCAAAGCAGCTATAAATTAAAATTGCTTTTATATTTTTATTTTAAATACCTATTAAATAAATGAAGTGGTAAATATGTAAGATTTAATTTAAATAATGTAAAGTGTAAGTTGTAAGATTTTCCACTTTACTCAAATTCACTATTTCGGTTGCTCTACCACAGAAATACGTCCATTATGTATTATACCATTTGCACTAGTTTACAATACAGTAAGACACAACAATTTACAATTCTAAAATATGCTTTAGATTATTTTTAAGTATCTTTAAGTTTCTTTAAATATCTTTAATTATCTATCATAAAAGTTCCTACGAGAGGATAACAACGATGAACCTAAATAACTAAATATTTATATAATTATTCCTATCATAAAAAATAATGTCAAACTTATAACATCTAAGTTTTTTTTTCGAATAAATTAGTCGTTGTAGATGTTTATTTTTAGTCAATTTTATATTGACTATTCAAAAAAAATTGTATATTAATTAATTGTTTATACTTACGAGATAAACATAGCAACATTTTTTTAATGGAAACCTACCACATTTTTTTTAGACAACGAGCTTGTTACAAGAATTGTTGCTGTGCAATTTTTTTTGTAATCCTCACACTTTTGTTAAAAAAATGTTTAACTTACAAAAATTTTTTTTTGTGTAAACTACCAGTTTTTTGGAAATAAATTAATAAATGTTTTGTAATAAAATTTTAGATTCAGTATTTGTTTGGTATTAGAAATATGTGTAGCATATAACATATAATAGATTACAGTTTAAAGGTTGTAAAGGAGCGATGCCAAAATATTTTTTATTTTAATTAATTGTTTAAACTTTTGAGATTACCATACTAATAATTTTTTTCTTAAATCTAAAAGATTTTTTATTTATTGTTTTACAAAGAAATGTTTATGCATTTTAAAAATGTACAAAAACATTTATTACAAATGTTACAATTTATGTTAAAAAAATTATAAACTTTATCTGTTGTCAAAACTTTCTTCATTTTTATAGCCATTGCACACCCCTAAATTTATTTGCCAAAAAAATTGATAGTTTCGCCAGAATAAAAACATTTAACCACCTATAAAAACCACCTGTAAACTCTTTTATCTTCAAGCATATCACAAACAAGGAAATTTGTTTATTTTCTAAGATTAAACGCCATCTTTCTATGTTCAATTTCGACATATATCATCTACTCGTGCTATACCACAGTAATAATTTTATTATTTCGCTTTTTTCGTGACTTTTTTTAATAGAAATAATTTAATTTTTAAATTATTCGTGTAATTATTAACAAATAAATGGTGATTTCACCGTATAAAATGCTTCAAATGACCTCATACATGACTTGGTCGAGCCGCCCTTGTGGACATTTCCTAGGACTTGAAATATTTCAACTCCGGTTAGAAAAAAAAAAACACTTCACCAATCTCACTAGAGATATACAAAGGTACAGTTTTTGACTGAACCAAAAGTAAAGCACAAAATTTATATTTCTGTTATTGGTCATTTTTCAAAAAAAAAATCTCCAACAGGTCGATTTTATTTTTATAAATTCATTGACGTCATTGAATTTTCAGTAATGAAATCATTTTTTTTTTAATGACAGCCCACTTATTTTTAGTGATTCGTATTTGTTTTTTGGGAAAAATGTATTCCAAAAAAAATGAAGTTTTTCATGGGCATTCAGTGCTATTCAGATGAATTCAGATAAAAATTTAGGTACTTTTTAAAAAAGGTCAAATGATCCATATTGCTATAAAAAAATCAAGTTCGCATTGTCTCTTAAAAATGGCATTCAAACGTGTGCAGTCTTAAATAATTGATAACAAATTTTTGGTTATCTTGTATTACTAAGGAATTTAGCTTATCTATGATTTTTATAAAAAAGTTAACATTTTACGAAAAAGCTAGGTAACATCAACATTTTAACATACACTCAAATCAAGTTCAATTTTTGATGACTCTAACCTTCAATGAAAATCATATTGTTGTTGTATGTAAGATATTATTACCCACTAATATCTAACATATAAGTCTAATAAGAATTGACGTAATCAGAATTAAATCAATTGCATAAACATTTATTTAACATATAAGTTACCGTATACAAATTATTTGTTTATGTTTTTTATTGTTTATTATTATTTATCGTGACAACATCATTACATGTCATTAGTTAAATGCTCCCACTGTATCACAGAAGCTAACGTATGGTTACTACCTTCCATAAACAGAAAATAACAAATAAAGATGAAGATCGTCAAAAAATAGATTTATTATCTACTTTAGTCATCAACATGATTTAAAGTCATTTACGACGTTCATATTTGGACTCGATAATTTATTGCTCATTCGTTAATTAATTATAAAATAAATCTGTCTGTCTTTTTAATTACATGGTTTGAGCTTTGATATTAATTTCAACTGCGTTCCCTGTAATTTTTTTCGGAGAAATGTCTTTGATATCTAAAAGCAACGTTTTGTTAACTAATTCCTTTGTTGTTGTTCCAGTGCATTACCAAAGGATAATCCACCGTGATATCAAACCGGCAAACTTACTTCTAAGCGAATCAGGCAGGGTCCAAATAGCAGATTTGGGTGTCTGTAACGAATTTGATGGTTCAGATGCCTTCCTGTCAAACACGGCCGGAACTCCAGCATTCACAGCGCCTGAGGCTCTCGGCGACAACAAATCGGCGTTCAGTGGCAAAGTAATTATGATTTTTTTTTAATTCAGTCAGTTTTAAGAAAAAAAGAAACATGAACTAGTGGAAAGTTTGTCGTTTTCTTCCAAATTTTTATGTTGTTCTAATTTCTCAACTGTGAAAATAAAACCAAAAATAACAGCAGCATAGGGTATTTCGATAAATTTTCAAAAGATAAAACACATTTTTACTAAAAAATCGGAAAAAAGGCCGAAATTTTAATTGAATTCTTTCAATTCTACATAAAAAACACTTTTAAAATATTTTTGTGAAACTGCAAAAAATATTTTTCAAAAGGTTGACTCTGTTAGTATCAAAAAATATACAGGGTGTTCCAGCGAGTTGGTAAAGTCCATTAGTGACCCTTAAATGGTGTAATAAAAAATATATATACAGGGTGACCCAGCGAGTTGAAAAAGTCCATTAGTGACCTTTACATGGTGAAATAAAAAAATATATGTATAGGACATTGGTAGATGCTAATCTAGTCCATCGCAACTATACAGCGCGTCTCAAAATAAGTTATAATACAAACTTGTGTTTTTTTAAATGAAACACCATATGTTTCTTAGTGTTTTTGGATGTATATTTTAATGACAATGACTTTTTTAAGCTAAACTTTTATTGGTCGATTTTGCTTAGTTTTAAAAATAAGACGGTTTTTTTGACGAAAACATGCACTTTTTAAAAATTTATTACAGAAAAACTAAGACATGTAGAAATATTTTCTTTACTACCGCAAAGAAGAAGCTATAAGGTTTTATTAACATTTTTCTAGTGCGTTGCATATGCAAAGATAAAAAAATGAAGGCGTTTGTTAAAAGTTTAATAACTTAAATTTTTTTAATGGAACACCCTATTTATTGTTTTTGCACTTAAAACATTATTAAATTGTCTTTCTAAAATTATTTACTTTTAGGTGCTTATAGTCAATAACTAAAAAGATATTGAACTTTAAAGATTAAAAAAAAATACTATTGTTTCAGTAGCCAAAAAGTGAACAGTTGCACAAGAGATGGAAGAAATATCGCTTAATAATCACATTTGTGTTAACCTGAATCCATTATTCTTTTTTTTTACAATACAATAATTCAAATTTCAGTATTTATAACGACTTTTACAATCTCTGGATAAATCAACGAATAAGTGATCCGTGGTGGAATTACTATGTTGGCCAAAGTATCAACAATGCTCAGATATTGATAGATATTGTTGCCACAGTTGATATTGAATGTTAAATATCTTTTCATTTATCAATTCTAGACATTAAAAGTTTATTTTTTTAGATAGACAATTTATCAATCTATTAGATACAAAAATTAAAAATAGAGTGTTCTATTAAATTTTTTTAGGTTATTTCACTTTTAACAAATTTAATTTATTAATCTTTACAAATGCAAAACACTACAAAATTGCTACAGCTTTAAATTCTGTACTTCTTTGCAGAAGTAAGAAAAAATGTGTTCTAGCTGTCTTAGTTTTTGTGTAACAAATTTTTGAAAAGTGCATGTCAAAAAAACCGTCTTATTTCTAAAGCTAAGCGAAATCGACTAATAAAAGCTAAAACATTGTTTTAAAAGGCTACATCCAAAAATGCCAAGAAACATATAGTGTTTCATTTAAAAAGAACACAAGTTTGTATCGTAACTTATTTTTGGTGCATGCTGTATGGTAGAAAACAATTTTAGGTGCTGCACTAGATTACTATCAATTTCCTATATACATCTTTTATCATTTAAAGGTCAATATTGGACTTTACCAGCTCGCTGGAACACCCTGTATATTTTATTAGATTGCGTAACTTAATTTTAATTTTTCTCTATAATAATACCCGTACATATAAATCACCCTGTATATCAAAATCAAAGATATTGAACCAAAATATTTTTCTTTTTGCAACACTAATATTATTGCAGAACACTATTATTAATTAAAACATTTTCAGAAAAAAATGAAAAATCCCATTTTTACTCAAATCTTTTGTTTCGTTGCTCATGTCTATTTTTAATCAACACATTATTGTTCAGGGTACAGATATCTGGTCGATGGGTATCACGCTGTATGCCTTTGTTTACGGTCAAGTTCCTTTCTATGATAACAACATAATCGGTTTATATTCGAAAATTCGCCACGAACCGGTTAGATTTCCGGATTCTCCATCTATTCCTGAACAACTCAAGGATTTGATCAGGAAGATGCTCGTCAAGGATCCCTCTAAAAGGATTACGTTGCCGGAGATCAAGGTGCATCCGTGGGTTACCAAAGATGGACAGTGCCCTCTGCCTACGGAAGAAGAAAACTGCCATTTGGTCGAAGTCACTGAAGAGGAAGTGGCCAAAGTGATTACATCGATACCGAAATTGGACACACTGATATTAATCAAACATATGCTTAAGAAGCATTCTTTCCAGGTAGAGAACATTAAGATTATTAAATTTTCATTTCTTTGGTGTGTATTTTATATTCAGTTTTTGTCAACTTAATTTTATTATCGCACCACTTTGATCGGACATGTAATTAATTGAAAGCATAGAAGAGTAAATCCAGATCCTTTTTGCTTTTTTTCATTTTTTAAAGCTTATTATTGCACTTGAAGCTCGTCGTCAAAGCTCAACATGTGAGTTAAATCGAACGAGGATGTTAAACATGTTGGTGCAGGAAATTAATGCCGAGATTAGAATCATCAAAACTAGATCAACTACTCCACGAGTACATTGCATTTTATCAATAGCTGAAGTAAAGAAGTCTTTTTCTTTTATCTTTATTATTGGGCGATAATCGTGATCGATTTCCTTTTATGCATTTGCTTTTAATTAAAGCAAATGGGGTAAAATTATTTAAAAAAAAAGAAACGACACTAAAAACTTTTTTTGGTAATCGGTATCATAATTCCGTATGACTTTTCCAATTTTTACTAATTTGTACCATTCCTGAAAAAAAGTAAAATTGTGCTTTAATTTTGTTTAGTTAAACATATACTCGTTTTCATATTAATGTGCATCGAAGTAGTCGTTGAAAGGGATCATTTTAAGGTGGCAACCATGTGAAAATTCAAAGAATCGTAATCACAATCTTCCCTAAAAATTATTTTTTGAAATAAATTTGTACCCTATGCAGCAAAAAATAATTACAATTAACAACGTAATTAACATATAATAGCAAACATATGGATTTTTGTCATTATTGATGTGATTAAATTTGTTCTGAATGACATTAATGATACTTTTTGTGTACATTGGCCTTTGAATTAAAGAGTCATTTAGACTTCTACAACCTACTTGATGCACATTAATATGAAAAAGAGTATACAGTCGCATACAATATACTGTGAGATCAAAAATTATCTTGGTCAAGGATGGCCATGGATTTTAAAATAATTGTCGTAGGTTATGTCATCGTCGCTGTCAGTGAGTCAAACTTTGTGGATAGCTTTGACTCCAAATTTAAGAAAACACCCGTTATATCTCTTGCCATAATTATTGCCACATTGGCAACGTCTCAATTGCGTTTTTTTGAGTTGAAATAGATCAGAAATATTTGATTTCTGTGTAAAAGAAGAATTTTTGTTACCCTACTGACAAATTTTCAGCCAAGAAGCTCCACTCTTTCATACAAAAAAAAAAACATCGTGAAAGTAGTTTTTAATGGATTATTGAAATATATATTGAAATTAAATGAATCAGTAGTTATTTAAAAGAGACGTACAGAGAGAAAGTCGTCTTGCACAAAAATTTAAGTTTATATTGATTAAAACATGTTTCTGGCACTAATTAGTCCCATCTTCAGGCTATATTGATAATAGAAACATAGAAATTATTGAAGATGATCAAGAAATTTGAAAGTTGGGCCAAAATAAAATTAAATTGATAAAAGTAAAAATGACGTTAAAATAAATGTCTTCAAAATTTCTTGATCATCTTCAATAATTTATATGTTTCTATTATCAATTTTTATCCTTTTTACTTTCTTTCCTTTAACTACAAAAACTTGCACTTTGAACTAATTATGGATAATAAAAAAATAAAAGAAACTTTATTATAAGTTATTTAATTTAAATTAAGCATAGAAAATTTGAATCTACTAACCCCTAGAAGTTTGATATTTGTCAAAATAGTATTTGCAGGACAAGTCCCATTTAAAATATGGAAGTCATGACAAAACCAAGTTATAAACATACAATACTTTCTATTTAAAAAACATAGATTAAAAACATTTTGCAGTTTTGCATTTTGCAATTTTGCATTGTTGATAAACTCTACATAAAACTCTTAAATTTAAAATACCTACTTACTAATAAATATTCCAGGATTTTATTTTTTAAAAGGTTTGTTTTTGCTCACTACTAAAAGAAATCAATAAACAGGATGTGTCAGAACTAGCGCCCCAGAGAAAAATTTCAAGTAAGATAAGATACCAGGAACATTGAAAAAAATGTTTTAAAAAAACAGTGAAAAGATTTTGATATTTATTTTTTGAGATTTGACATTTTTTATGTCTATTTAATAATACTGATGATCTTGTATATGTTTTTTTTTATAATTATTTAGTAAAGCTACAAAAATTTTGCCAATTAAAGCACAAATAACATTAATTATTAGGATATAGCTTCCTTGTTTCCTCTTCTAGCAAAAAAACTTGGAACATTATTTTTCCAACAGAAATAGAGTCAAAGTGCAAAATTTAAGCTCTCATAACTTAGAAATTTTTATAGATAGATTTTTTTTTAACTTTTTTTCCATGTTCTTGGTATCTTACATGGCTTTTTTTCTCTGGGGCGCGAATTCTGGCGCAGCCTTTATAAATCATGAACAAAAGAATTTACCAAAAATTGTCGTAACAATAAATACCACTTGTATCGTATTATTATAAAAAATTGAATTGCTTAAAACTAAAAAAAGAGGAGTGCGACCAAAGAGTCAAACTAACAAATTTTATATTACACTTCTTGTTTTATAAAAATCAACAAAATAAACAGTTTTCAAAGTACTTCTACTGAACATTATTGGTTAAAAATACATTTTTGTTACTTTAAGTATTCAAGTTACATTTTTATTGTTGTTTCAGAATCCTTTTCTGCACAGAAGAGATACGCACAGACCGAGTAATGCAAGCGACACAACTTCCACCAGACAACACATTGGAAGATCTGGGCGTTCAAATTCGGCTCCGGGTTCCTACGATTGGGTTTCAGACCGTCAAATATCTATAGACTCTCCATTGGAATCCGTTACGGAAGTAACAATCGACCAAAATGATAGCAAAATAGAGATTGAATCAAAGCGGTGATAATAATTATTAAAGGATTATTAATTTTTATTTTGTTTTTTTAATAGTTTACAAGGATATTTTTTATACTCGGATTTTATTTTATTCAAATAAAATGTACAATTTTTATTTCCATCTTTATTTTATTTAACCTTTAGTTGAATTTTTATGGATGACAAACTATTAAATCAAGGGGACCATCTCACCAGTTACAAATAAGGTGAAAATCGAAGGACAGTGAAGATTTTCATATCTATAGCTGTATAAATAGATATAGCGACATTTCTCTCTATTCTTCCCAAATTGCCTTTTAGATGTTGAATCCTTTTTACAGTCTGCATGTTCGGGTACCTAGCTATTAGGTATATATGAAGTTTAAAAGCACTATTTTATAAATTTTTGCACAATTTAATGTAGTAGTTAACCTGTTAATAAAATCTGATTTGGAATTTTTAAGAAATCTTTTGCTCAAATTGTACAATCGTGGATTATAAGAACTTCCCCAATCAAAATGATTCTCTTTCATTTTTGTCTACCTCAAAAAGTTGTTAACTTATTTGTCTCAAAGATTTATTTACTATCGTTAATTATTTAATCAAGTTATTGTAATGTAAAGCATATATTCTAATTATACAGTATAAATTATATGATATATACAAAATTTTAGACTTAAATTTGTCTTAACTCTAATATTTTAATGTTAGTGCTGTTATACAATTTTTCTCTATTATCCCTTTTACTATTAATAAATTGCTAACACGATTCGACTTGTTTCTTTCACTACCAGTTAGCTTATTCGAGAAGATGACCCCAATCTCCCACAAATTATGTAAAATCTCATACCAGGTGAATAAAAAAAACTATGGAACTACACGTTTTTTGCTTAAACTATTAATTTTTTGGAAAAACTAATTGATGAATAATAAAGTACTATAAAAATGTAATGTATTATCAAAAATAAAAATTTGCGAGATTTTCTTATTTTTTATTTCCATAAAAAAATTTTAATGGCAACCCACTATGAAACCATTTTTCTCATCCAGGTTATGATCTAAGGATTTCAACCATCTATTTTATATTTAATGTAAGAATTTTTTTATATATCTATAGTAAATTACGATTTTAACAAAAAAAATCGCATAATTCAAAAACAACAAAATTTCGTTCTCAAAATACTATCACATCTTTTATATTATTTCAATTTACATTAACTATTATTTTCTTTATATTCACCCTGTATGTATGTAGATACTGGGGTGTATAGAAGATATACACCCCAGTACACGTGTCAGAAACAATGATAATAAATGAGATAATTATTGATCTCCTATTATGCACCTAACCGAAACCCTAAATGCACCAAGAACAAAAGCTCTGCTTAATCTGTACAATATTGGCTTAACACCAGGACTTCAAAACTTTTATCTTTTTATAGATTTTCTAGAAGTTTACAGTTTAAATAAAATAGCGGAATAAAGTGAAGTAAAAGGTGAAGCTCGTTTTAAAATAGTTTGGAGTAAATCTCAAATTCAATAAGAAGTAGAAAATAACGTTAAAAACTCGCAGTGTTTATATTCGTATTTCAACAAGTTTATGTTAAGATTAAAGTACTAAAAACATTCTTCAGAGTTGGACAGTCAAAAACTTTATCAATAAAAGTGACCGAGATTTAAAGATTTTTTTCCTAGAACAAACTTGGGATAAAGACCAGACAAAGCAAGAGTTCTTTTAACTTTTTCCTGTCGTATTAGCGAGAAAATTCAATTGAAGTGGAAAAGTATTGGAAAGTAATTTATTACTTCCGAGTACTTGATTTTTTCTTCTGATTTGTTCTAAAATAGTTTCCCAAATAGTATACACAACAACGGGGCAGGATGAATTGCGCTCAGTTTCAAAAACAGGTATAGTGAGACTAATAAGGGTAGCTAATCCTTAAGGTGAACTGCGCTCAGTAGCATCACAACCGGATACCCACCCATGGGTTGGTGCTTCGAACTTTTAAGGAGCACTTTTTCCACTTTTGGGAAATGTCTATCTTGTAAGTTCGACCAAATTTTTTTAAAACACTGCTATGTAATATACACCTATACATATTTGTGTTCAGTAAATGTAAATAATAACCTATTTCGTTTTTGCTTATTTCGCAATGCAAAGTACATTTTTGCAACTGGTTGATTCCTATTTTCTTTAGCATGGGAATTTAATTTTTAGTAATCTAATTCTTTACATTACGCTGAGATATTTCGACTGACCTGAGCGCAGTTCATATAGGGATTAACGCAAGTAAGTAAAAATTTTCTGAGCGCAGTCCACTGTAGGGATTAAAACGTCCTCCTTGAAGTGAGCGCAATTGACCGACACCCACAACAACTATTGTTGCTTTCTACGTTTAAAAATGATATTAATTAGGTGAAATAAGTAACCTTCAAACAAATAATAACTAGAGCTCGGAAACATTTGTAAATAGTAAATGAGTAACAAAATGCTTTTAGGAAACAATATAAACAATCTCCCACAAATAATCTTATTTTGTTATTACTGGGGCAACTATTTCTTGACCCTTCTTTAGATAAGATAATACGACATTTCAACAGTAAGCCACTTGCATTCGAACCAACAAAATAAAATGAACATAATTACCTAAACAAATATTAAAATGAAAATTAGTGAAATGTTCGTGTTTTTCTTTTCAATCTTCTTATCACTTTTGAACATATCAATCCAAGTAAGTATAATTTGTTACAGAAACAATTATAAAATGAACACTTCCAGATTTATGTGCCAGACAATAATCAAAACCACAAACCCATAACTTATACCTCGGGAATAAAAACTACTTCATATCACAAACCTCAAATTCAGGTACACCACAATTACAGTCGAGTTTATCACCAAAACTATGACTACTCCCGAAGATACTCTGATAGTGACGAAACGTCGCAAAGGCCATATCCAGTCTACAACGGGCATACATACGGCGCACGACCAACAAATGAACAACTAAACCAAATCTATGTACTTAACGGTACCAGAATCCGCAAAAATGAAAATCCAACACGTCAAATAGTCAACTACAACAAGCAAAAACGCACCCCAAAAGTCGAAATTTATAAAGCTTGTCCTAGGAATGCTACAGGACAGTTCGTCTACGAAGCCTCCTGCAATCAATTTCTCAACTGTTGGAAAGGACGAGGATATGTCCAAAATTGCGCCCCTGGGACACTTTTCAATCCGAAAACTTTAGAGTGTGACTTTCCTGAAAAAGTGTATTGTATTAGTGGCCCTCGTCAGTCGATTTTAAAATCAGCAAAAGTCATAAAACAAGTTGGTTGCCCCAAGGAATTTTCCGGATTGATTCCCAATTACACTGATTGTTCTAAATTTATTAATTGTGTGAGTGGAATCGAGAATTTCATGGATTGTCCCCCAGGTACACTTTTTGACATTAATAAAAATATATGTGATTTTCCATACAAAGCGACTTGTTTCAATGGAGAAAATCAAAAGTACAATCACCAAGAAATCAACAGCAAGCTTGATTTTAGTAAAAAGAGTTCCAAATATACACAAACAGGACAACTGTCTTATCGTCAGAATGAAGTAAAGTGTCCTTATGGTTCCGATGGGATTCATCCCCATCCCACTGATTGTTCAAAGTTTCTCAATTGTGCAAATGGAATAACTTATGTTCAAGATTGCTCCCCGGGTACACTTTTTAATCCGTTGTTAAAAATATGCGATTTTCCATACAATGTTAGATGCCAAAATGTTACCAATTCTGGGATTACTGTCATAGACTATGATGCAGGGTACTATAGAGGTAATCAATCAAGCATACAGACTTATGGTTCGATTGATAACCAACAAGAGACAAGTAGGGATAGGACTTATGGACAATACGATCAAGATCGAAACTGGCAAAGAGGTGATTCCTCTCGATATCATGGTGGTACTTCTAGCAATAGAAGACCAGGAACGTATTCGGTTCCAACCTATGGAAGTACTTATTACAACAGGGAGACAAGTGGTCAAAACACGGACTATTATGGACCAACTAATCAATATGAATCTGGTACTGATTATTATGATGGTACTACACTTCCATTTAATCAACCAAACTACTACAGCAGTTCCACAGATCGGTATAGAAACACTCAATACAATAGAGGCTCAGAATATTATGGTACCAAACAGCAAGGAACGGTTGGAGGTTTATATACCAACACACAAAATACAGGATTGCATCGACCAAATCAGTACCATTCTGTAACAGGTGGACAAAATCAAAATTCATACGGAGTTTCCTCGGAATCGTATAGACCAATACCATATGGGCAGAACCATAATTCATACGGAGTTTCTTCATCATTCAGACCAAATCAGTACCCCAATGGACAATATGAGCACGATTCTACAGTTTATGATGGTTCTACTATTAGAAATGGTAATGCTTGGGCGCAAAATGGATACTCTACAGATTATGAAAGTTCCACTGTTAGAAATGGTTGGGGACAAAATGGATACGATTCTACGGTTTACGAAGGTTCTACGGATGTTAATGGTAATGATTGGGGACAAAATGGACAATTTGGTCAACAAGGCGTATATGGTACTACTTCAAATAATCGAAGAAATCAGTATGGTAGTACTTATGGTACAGTTCAAAACTACAACAACAAGGGTTCCACAAGTACTTACAATCAAAATAGATGGGACCGTCCAAGACCATATTCCACGAGTCAAAGTTCATGGTACAACCAAGAGTCAGACCCTACTTATCCTTCCCCAACCATTGATCAACGACCAGAGACATACAACGTTAACAGCAATCAAAATTCAAATAATTATCGTGGAACCATTGAATCAAATAGAGACCAAGATTCTCACTACAATAAGAATTTTAATAATTATCGTGGAAGCACTGGAACCGTTAGACAACCAGATCCCATTTACATCTCACCAACCAGTGACCAAAAACCGTCAACATACAATTCCAACAATCAAAGAGAAACTTGGTATCAACAAAACCGGAACGATCTCGATGACGAAACCAACACTCCTAATTATGACCAAGTGGTTAACATCAATCAAGTCCGAAAAACCACCCGGGTTCCATTTCGAAACTCCTACGAACCGTTTTTTGGATCCACCACTTACAAGCCACGTTATAGTCCCTCCCAAAACGAGTTTAATGATTATGATGATACTTTTGGTGTTGGTCATAGTAATAAATATACAAGAGCTACAACACCAAAAATCTTAGAGAAGAATTGGCCACCACCGTTTCCCTCAACAGACGTAAATGCCGACTATGTATTTGAAGACGACGATGATGGTGAAGTGACACTAGAAGCAGAAAATTCGATCAAAAATGGCCCTTCTAGAGACGGTGATTGTCGCAAAAGTGATTTTCGTTGTTCTGCTAGTACGTGTATTCCCAAAACTTTGGTTTGTAATGGATTTAAAGATTGTCCTGATGGTACTGATGAAATCGACTGTCTTGACTACATCTCGAAATTTTCCAAAAAAGAAAGAAGCAAACTTGCGGTACTTGAAAAGGAAAGATGGGACAATGTCAGTGTTGCGACTTGTGCACTGTTGTGTGTGCAATCAAAAGAGCATCATTGCAGGTCTTTCAATTACAGAAAAATCGATAAAACCTGTTTCCTCACCAACACCAACGAAGGTTTAACAGGCGCCCTAATTTTGTATTATCCCTTCGATTACTACGAACTAATCAGTGAAAAAATCAACTGCAGCGGGATGTATATTTGCAACAACAAGAAGTGTATAATTCGAGAAAAACTCTGTGATGGTCATGACGATTGTGGCGATCGAATGGATGAGAAAGGATGCAAGTCGGAGGACTTTGGTTACAGTATTAAACTGACAGGGTCGAAAAATAAAAATGAAGGGCAAATTGAAGTAACGGCTTTTGGAAGAACGGGATATGTTTGTGATGATAAATTTGGATTGAGGGATGCTAATGTTGTGTGTAAAGAGTTGGGTTTTTATTTAGGGGCCGCTGAAGTTAAGGGAAACTCATTTTACTCGAAAAATATGACGGGGAAACCGTTTTATATGATGGATGATGTTAGTTGTGTGGGAAATGAGACCAAGTTAATGGATTGTGACTTCAGTGGATGGGGTGTTCACAACTGTTTAGAACAAGAGGTGAGTGTGTTTATTTATGTTTTTCAGTTTTATCTTAGCTATTAAAAATATGTACTGGAAACAATTTTTAAGAATTTTTTCATAAATAACATTTTACACTTGCATTTTTGGAAGATTCTAGATCCAAAATACCGGGTGTCCCAGGCAGGCTTGCATATAGAAAATTAACATGGAAAATTAGTTTTTATTTTTTTTTTGGCTGCAGGAGTAACAGAAATAAAAATCTGACTTATGGAGTTTGTAGTGCTTGAAGAGGGCTGGCTATCTTATCGATATTTTTGTCGATTCTCTAAATAACTCCATATGGGTGAAAACGACCATCGAAAAATTGAAATTTGAATTTGCCGGGTTAGCGTTACTAAGAAACGAACTATCCAGTCAATGTTGCCAAAGGAGAATTTGTCACAATTTGAAATGGAGTTAATTGGAGATAAGATTGTCCTTTTCGAGCACTACACGCTCCATTAATCAGATTTTAATTTTTGTAACTCCTACAGCCGGAAAAAAATAAAAACTAATTTCTCATGTTAATTTCCTATATCCAAACCTGCCTGGAACAGCCGGTATATGTATAACAATTCCAACCTTTAAAAAGTGGTGTGAAAATGGGATTTGAGTCGAACAGTTTCGTAGGTAGCAGATACATTCTAGCAGGTGTCAAGTTTTATCCGCACTTCGCAAATCACCTCTTTAAACAATTTACTTGTGCAATAAAAATAAAACTTAAAAAAATTTTAACGAAAAAATCTAATTACATCAATTGATCAAAAATGCATGACAAAATCAATCTGTAAAATTATTAATTGAAAAAAAATCTTAGAATGTGATCAAACTCCATTTTTACATTATTTAACGAAATTTTAGTTTAATTTATGACTTGTTAAATCGGAGTAGTAATAAATCAGCGGCACAACAATAAACCGACCGGCATAGTCCCATTAAATCCAGGGCAGGAGTAAAATAGGTATTTTCCCAATTTTTTTAGGTAAACGAAGTACAATCGAACGAAATGAAAATGACACCTCAATAAACCTCAATAAATAAATGTTCAAAATCATGACCTTTTTGTTCAATAGTCAGACGAATTGTTTTTTTAAAATAGTCATAATTTTTTGCTGTGTTTCACCACTACACCTCTTTGGGGGAATAAGAGACCGATTTAGGACGGTTATTAGAAAAACCATCATATGCGTTTTTGAAATAAGGGATCAAACTAGGGATTGACAATATTCCTAATTTTCAATTTTAAGAGGGGCCTGATCACTGTCGTCGCTTCGAAAAGGTATTTCTGGGGGAGTAAAATACCGATTTATGGTGGTTTTTGAAAAAACTGTTAAATGCGTCTTTGAGATAAAAGATCAAACCAGAGTTTGATATTATTCTTGAATTTCAATGTTAAAAAACTGTAAACAATTGTTTGGAAATTTCATGTCCACAAAAAAGTCCCGGTTTATAGTCTCTTTTCAAGCCTATTCTCGTAAAAATTTTGTGGTTTTCTTATGTGTTCTTGTCTTAAACTTCCCCCACAACAATTACGTCACTAAAATACCAAAATAAATCGGTAGTTGTGTGGGGAAAAAGCTTTGAAGTGTCCGGAAGAGAGCAGGTTAATTGATTGTTAAATAAATCTAATAAATAATAAAATAATACTATAAAGGTAACTACTTCTCAACCAACAAACCCCGAAATAAAAACGCTACCTTTCTTTCAGTAGTGGAATAATTAATTAAGCAAAAGTTTAAAACCTTTCGTATAAGTTAACAATAAATAAATTGAACAAAATTTTCGTCTGTTTGAAAAAGTCACCCACGAGGTTTTTTTTACAATTACTTAAATTATTTCTAATTTCTAATGCGGATAAAACTTGACTCACCAGAGCAAATTTATGGCAACCTAGTCATGAATATCCCTAAATCTTAGGCAGTTACAACTAAATAAAACAAGAATTGCTGGTTGCCAAACACTCGTTGTGATCGAACACCAAATGCTTATTTTTGTAAAAATAATATTATGAAAAAAAAAACTGAAAAAACAACAAGACGGAAGTGAAAAAACTTTATACAGTGTGTTTCAAAAGCATGAAATAAAAATTTTTAGGCAAAAATTACATTATATTACCTGCATTCTTATAGATGTTTAATGTTTAAAACATTAAGCATTTTCAACTTTTGTCGAACGTTTCTTTAAAGTTGAAACTTACACTGATTTATCAATTCAAAAATGTAACTTAGTAGTTTTGATAAAAAAAAATATTTATAACACAAATATGTACCTACAGGCTGTATTATAAAAAAACGCCCCAAGTCATAACTCCATTAATTTTAGGCAAAAAAGTATTACAATGTTCAAAAGTCATGAAATTATGGCTTGGGCGTTTTTTTTATATTACAGCCTGTATAAGTAATTAAACAGAGTGCGCCAGAACTCGCGCCCCAGAAAAAAATGCCATGTCAGGTAAGATATAAGGAACATGGAAAAAATGTTTAAAATATCTATAAAAATTTCTATGTTATGAGAGTTTAAATTTTGCACTTTGACTCTATTTATTTCTGTTGGAAAAATAATTTTCCAAGTTTTTTTTCTACAGACTATTAGAAAAAGAGACAAGGGTGCTGTATCTTAAATTACAACTCTGTTTAATATTATTTGTGGCTCTTATTGGCAAAATTTTTGTACCTTTACTAAATAATTATAAAAAAAACATATACAAGTTCAACAGGATCATTAAAATATACATAAAAAATGTCAAATGTCAAAAAAAATGTCATATTTTTTTGACAGAGAATTTTTTAAACATTTTTTCCATGTTCCTAGTATTTTACCTTACTTGAAGTTTTTCTTTAGGGCGCGAGTTCTGACAGACCCTGTATAACATAACCTGAAGTGACACTTTTAATTCATAGAAACGTCAATACTCAGTTCCTTGACATACATTACATATTATTTATTATGTTAAATATTATGTTAAAATACATATGTACTTAATTAAAATGTAAGTACGAGTACAAAAATCTGATGGCTATTTTTAAAATTACTTGAGACTTTTTAATTTTAATAGAACTACAAGTATGTACAATTAGCGTAGAAAAGATTGTCCTCCTAATAAATCTTTTCCATTGTAAACGTTATTTTTTATTTAACAGTATATTTAGTTTGAAGTGAAGCTCAGTGACCGATTTTACTTTCAATTGAGAAAAAAAAACAAATTATCTAAAAAAAAATTCACAACTTTATGAAATTAAAATTAAATTAAAAAAATTATATTTAATGCTTAATTA